CATTATAAAAGTATAAGTACAAAGTATAAGAGGCTTATATAAGAGGAAATAAAGACAAAAGCAAACAATTCAGTCAAACGTATGCTACAAAGTCAGCGCTGTACTTTACTACAGTAAAGTTCAAAATCAATATATAAAGTTAAACATAACTTTGTGCTCAGCCAAAACGATATGACCAGGAACAAATAATAGATTCATGAGACCACAAATGCCTGTTAAATATATCCAAAACTAATTGCACCTCATGTTTAATCACTACAGAGACATCAGAGCCAGCGGCAAATGTCGGAAGGACTAGCCGAGCTAAGGCTGCTCTATGCGGATACATGAGCACTGAGCGCCCGGTGATCACCTTGAGCTTCGAAATCGGCATAGCAAATTTTCAAATAGGCGCTATCTTTATAAACAAACCACAGATTTGAGTTTTAAGCAATTACATTCTCTCCTGAAAAACTCTTAAAACTACATTTCATGATAACAGTAATATTTTGAAAATTACGTAGGTTTTTGGGCAATGACGTTTCACAAGTCCACAAGAACAGACAAGAGCGTATATTGAGAAACAGCTATTGTCTGTGTGAAAATATTAAATGATAAAATACACAATTATATTTTTTGTGTTTGCGCACTCTGATGTAAATAAGCCCGACACTCATGGACAGCAGAGCGGAACGAGTGAAGGAGAAGCTTTATTCCCTTGTATCACACAAAAGTAACGATTCTAGTCAACCAGTTCAACTTTCTGAGGTGAGTTTAACTCCACCCTTTTGGTACCCTTTGCTGTGCTAGGTACCCCAACGGAAGGGTACCAAAAAAGTGGTACGGTTCGCTATTTTGCTACCATTCACAACTTCTGACAATGGAAACAGACATAATTGCGTACCTTACCGTACTGTACTAAACCGTACTGCTCGGTGGAAACGGGCCATTAGAGAGTATAGACAGAAGCAGGCCAGTTCAAAATAGAGCAGTACTACAGTGGACTGAATTTTCATTGGTCAACAGATGCCTAGGTCAGAGTGCAAAGCAAAAGTTCTAGGTTGCATGACTGAGCATCACTTTCGCAAACCTTTGTTTTTTTATCTTTTTTTTTAACAACACAATATCCCCAACTGATATCAACAGACTTGTAGCATTTCTAACAGAGCGTAAAATCTAGTGTGTAAGCACCCTAAAGCAAAGAGAAAAAAAATGGGAGCAGACAGTATCACAGCAACAGCCAGTGCTGGGAAGGAGAAGGTGAGCGTCAGTTTTATTATGAGGAAAAAAGCAGAATTTGGGTCTCTAAGTGTGGAACAGTGATGTCTTGAAGTTTGGGTGATTGTGTTCGAGCAATTTTAGTTCCCATGTTAAAAACTCTTTCAAGATGAGAAGTTTAAAAATATCTTGAATCAGAATGTCTCTGTAAACAAAGGCTTTACAGACACAAGGCCTCTGAAACTAGGTTGTGTGTCCCTCTGGTGGCGTCAGTGTGGAACTGCACATACATAAGGGGAGGGGGCAGGTCTAACAGAGACGCACCTGTGGCTGAAAGGTGGGTCGAGGCGTCAATCTAGGTGGAGGGACAAACTGGGGAACTTTGATAGGCTGGGCAGAGGTGGTGGTGACCTGTGACAAAACCAGCCATTTATTGGGCACTCAGCAGGTGAAATGGAGAAATTCACAACATTTAGAGGAAATTATCCTCTATCTGGTTTCATCACAGAAGTATGTCACCATACACCCCAACCAAGCACATCAATGTCAGAAAGAAGTCATTTAAAATCTTCATACTAACTGGAGACATAAACATCCTGTTCTAAACACATCAAAGCAAAGTGGGTCTGACTATGACTACAGCAAGCTAGGCAAAAACACAGACTGGCATTTCTACTTCAGTTTAACATTGTTATATTTAAGCTAAATGGAAACACTAAGTTACGAGGAAGAATCTTTAGCAATTAGCGATTTAGGGATTCACACTCACGACAATAACATTCTTGGACACAATCCGTGTGCCGGCATCTGTGTCCTGATTGGGTAGCTTGCTGGCCACCTGAAGGTTGATTGGTGTGCTCTGGGAGTCGGAATTGGTGCCGGGTCTCAGGGGGTTGCTGATGGCAGTGACCATGGCGACTGTGGGGCGTTGTGTTGCCATGGAAGCAGGCATGGTGGAGGTGGCAGCTTTCAGCACGAGAGGTAGAGTCTTTGCAGTTATAAAACTGTAAAAGAGCCTCCAAAAGTTATGACAAATCAAGCAGCTTGTTCACAGTGATGACCAATAAAGCGGTTTCTCATGTACGTGTCACAACACACAGGTGAACACATTAACACACCCAAGCCTGTCTGCCCATTGAACGCATCACACACTTGAGTCATAACATTCAACATCCCATTCCATTCCTAATTACAGCACAGCAGTCATCCAACTCACAGTAACCAGACTAGAGAGAAGAGGGTATCATTTCATACACACACACACACACAGATCACCTGCCATGTACAACTAGGCATATAAAACAAATAGAAGATGCAGAACAAACATTTTCCATACACAGATCAACTCTTTGCAGCATCACCAGGAGGCATTGAAAAAATGTGCTACTTCTTACACACAAATATCAAATGCCACCTGCTGGTTGAAGAATATCAGCCTAGGCTACAAGAACCACTAAATTACACCCGGTCAACTTTTCTGAATCCTGCAGACTTCTGCTTAATTTGCTCCACAGTCTCAATCCTGTCTGATGCCATGGAAAACTCAACATGACCATTCTTACAACTAAAGGTTCTTTATTGGCATCAATGGTTCCATGAAGAATCTTTTAACATTTCCATTCCACAAAAGGTTCTTTATAGCGAAAAAAAGCTCTTAAGATTTTTAAAACATTCTTCACACTAAAAAGAGGTTCTTGTTTCATAAAACTGATCCATGAAAGGTTTTTAGATCCAAAATTATTCTTCTATGGCACTGCTGTGAATACACCCTTTTGGAGCCTTTATTTTTAAGAGTGAACAAGAATATTGTGCAGCAGTGGTCTACAAATGTAATGCAGGGTCCACCAACTACTGTCTGATCACAAACAAATGTTTGAGAAAAAAAATATGTATTAAACAGAAAAAAGAAAACTAAAACAAACAATCTACTAAGCTAAAGGTAAGAAGCTAAAGTTGCTAAATGTTTCAATGTCCCTCCCATGTTAAAATGTAATAAAGTATCACTCTGTACATCACCTATGAATATTCTAATTACTTTTCAATGTTTTGTTTGTTTATGAATTTTTTAACACCATGTTAGCGCTACAAAATATTCCACTTAAACATGTTTCTGAATAAAAGTGTTTTCTGGCAGTATTATAATCACAGTCCAACAGGATATGTTTAACAGTCAAAGGAACTCAGCATGAGATAGTCTACATAAAGAAGGAGCTTCACCTATCAGTAGAAACCCATGTGTAATCTTGAGTGACCCAGTCGGCACCTAGCGTAGATAACTTGGTCAAGTCTTGATTTTAAGTAATGGAAGCCATTTCTTTGTACACTTTTTATAAAGTATAAAAAGTATAATTTCAAATTTATATTTATTTTTTTTTTTTTATTTTTTTTTTTTTTTTTTACATTTTTTTTTTAATATATTTGATTTATTTTATATATAAATTACATATATTTCTTAAATATATACATGTATGTGTGTATATTTATATATGAATATACACAGTACACACACATATTATATAAACACAAATGCTAATTTTGGATATGAATAATTGATTTGACAGCACTGCACAGTATTGATAAAACATAGTCCCACCGTATAAATTATTCCAGTTGAATAGTTTAACTTACAAATGCTCTACATTACAGAAATAATAGTCAAAATAATATTAAAAGAATATATAATTAATTAAAATAATGAATATAAAATTCATTTAGTCCCACTCCATAAATTTTTTTCTGTCGAATATTCAGTTTCTCTTAGAAATGTGCCACATCACAAAAACAAAAAAGGTTGCAAATGCCACTACATGTGGATTTTATTTATATTAATAGTTCAATAGTTTATCAATTCTATGAAAAATAGTAAATACTATGTTAAATAGCAACACATTCCCAGATGGTCTTCTTCTCTCATCACAGAAAAAACTAAACAAAACAAAAGCAGTTAAAAACAGAAAGGCTGAGATTGTACATTATTGGCCATATAAAAGCAACAATGCTCTTATAAGATTCTAAGGTCACTCTGCCCTTATTTTTCACAAACTCAAAGCTTATTTCAGGGACAAAGATTTGTATTTGCAATTACAGTGTGTGCCTTTAGAATAGAGCACCGCAGATGAGTCAGGGCAATTGTTTTTCAATAAACCTTTTGGGTAAACTAGCTAATCGGCTAATTTTTTGCTGCGGGACAAAAGCAAACAATTCAGTCAAACGTATGCTACAAAGTCAGCGCTGTACTTTACTACAGTAAAGTTCAAAATAAATATATAAAGTTAAACATAACTTTGTGCTCAGCCAAAACGATATGACCAGGAACAAATAATAGATTCATGAGACCACAAATGCCTGTTAAATATATCCAAAACTAATTGCACCTCATGTTTAATCACTACAGAGACATCAGAGCCAGCGGCAAATGTCGGAAGGACTAGCCGAGCTAAGGCTGCTCTATGCGGATACATGAGCACTGAGCGCCCGGTGATCACCTTGAGCTTCGAAATCGGCATAGCAAATTTTCAAATAGGCGCTATCTTTATAAACAAACCACAGATTTGAGTTTTAAGCAATTACATTCTCGCCTGAAAAACTCTTAAAACTACATTTCATGATAACAGTAATATTTTGAAAATTACGTAGGTTTTTGGGCAATGACGTTTCACAAGTCCACAAGAACAGACAAGAGCGTATATTGAGAAACAGCTATTGTCTGTGTGAAAATATTAAATGATAAAATACACAATTATATTTTTTGTGTTTGCGCACTCTGATGTAAATAAGCCCGACACTCATGGACAGCAGAGCGGAACGAGTGAAGGAGAAGCTTTATTCCCTTGTATCACACAAAAGTAACGATTCTAGTCAACCAGTTCAACTTTCTGAGGTGAGTTTAACTCCACCCTTTTGGTACCCTTTGCTGTGCTAGGTACCCCAACGGAAGGGTACCAAAAAAGTGGTACGGTTCGCTATTTTGCTACCATTCACAACTTCTGACAATGGAAACAGACATAATTGCGTACCTTACCGTACTGTACTAAACCGTACTGCTCGGTGGAAACGGGCCATTAGAGAGTATAGACAGAAGCAGGCCAGTTCAAAATAGAGCAGTACTACAGTGGACTGAATTTTCATTGGTCAACAGATGCCTAGGTCAGAGTGCAAAGCAAAAGTTCTAGGTTGCATGACTGAGCATCACTTTCGCAAACCTTTGTTTTTTTATCTTTTTTTTTAACAACACAATATCCCCAACTGATATCAACAGACTTGTAGCATTTCTAACAGAGCGTAAAATCTAGTGTGTAAGCACCCTAAAGCAAAGAGAAAAAAAATGGGAGCAGACAGTATCACAGCAACAGCCAGTGCTGGGAAGGAGAAGGTGAGCGTCAGTTTTATTATGAGGAAAAAAGCAGAATTTGGGTCTCTAAGTGTGGAACAGTGATGTCTTGAAGTTTGGGTGATTGTGTTCGAGCAATTTTAGTTCCCATGTTAAAAACTCTTTCAAGATGAGAAGTTTAAAAATATCTTGAATCAGAATGTCTCTGTAAACAAAGGCTTTACAGACACAAGGCCTCTGAAACTAGGTTGTGTGTCCCTCTGGTGGCGTCAGTGTGGAACTGCACATACATAAGGGGAGGGGGCAGGTCTAACAGAGACGCACCTGTGGCTGAAAGGTGGGTCGAGGCGTCAATCTAGGTGGAGGGACAAACTGGGGAACTTTGATAGGCTGGGCAGAGGTGGTGGTGACCTGTGACAAAACCAGCCATTTATTGGGCACTCAGCAGGTGAAATGGAGAAATTCACAACATTTAGAGGAAATTATCCTCTATCTGGTTTCATCACAGAAGTATGTCACCATACACCCCAACCAAGCACATCAATGTCAGAAAGAAGTCATTTAAAATCTTCATACTAACTGGAGACATAAACATCCTGTTCTAAACACATCAAAGCAAAGTGGGTCTGACTATGACTACAGCAAGCTAGGCAAAAACACAGACTGGCATTTCTACTTCAGTTTAACATTGTTATATTTAAGCTAAATGGAAACACTAAGTTACGAGGAAGAATCTTTAGCAATTAGCGATTTAGGGATTCACACTCACGACAATAACATTCTTGGACACAATCCGTGTGCCGGCATCTGTGTCCTGATTGGGTAGCTTGCTGGCCACCTGAAGGTTGATTGGTGTGCTCTGGGAGTCGGAATTGGTGCCGGGTCTCAGGGGGTTGCTGATGGCAGTGACCATGGCGACTGTGGGGCGTTGTGTTGCCATGGAAGCAGGCATGGTGGAGGTGGCAGCTTTCAGCACGAGAGGTAGAGTCTTTGCAGTTATGACCGGCGTCACGGTGAGAGTCTTCTAGTCGAGGAGGTGGGAGGTAGGTTGATTGAAGGAAGCAGTGAATGAGGAGGAGACACAAAAGATGTTATAGTGCTATTGACTTGATTTCTCTGCTGTTATTGTGTACGAATTATCAGTGCATATAAGAAAAATGGTCTGTCCTTGCCTTTCATTAAAATATAATATCTTGAAATGACTTTTTTCCATTGATGTTACCAAGAGAGCAAGTGCTGTTAGATAATGTTAACCAATCACAAATTAACTATTGAGACATTGTTTAAACAAAGTCATATTGCATGTTTGGCTCCATTCTTGTATTTAATACCCAAATGTCATCAATTAATATTCATAATCGATTACAAAGATTTGTGTTTGCAATTACAGTGTGTGCCTTTAGAATAGAGCACCGCAGATGAGTCAGGGCAATTGTTTTTCAATAAACCTTTTGGGTAAACTAGCTAATCGGCTAATTTTTTGCTGCGGTACAGGAATCGAATTCACATCTCACCAGTGTTAAGTAAATATTCCGCTGCATATCACCTCCGAGTATAGTGCTGTTCTACACATTTTGTCTAAAAACTGTGTGGTGTTCAGGGTGTGAAGCGGTACCTGTGGCGCCCCCTGGTTGTGTGGAGGCCCTGTGGGCAGCTGTGAAGGGGGACAGGCGGGCGTCAGCAGCACGGTTTTACCGTCTGCGGTTGCTGGGAGCGTCTGTGGCTTCAAGTCGGGCTCCTGTTTCACCAGCAACTCCTTCCTCAACTGCTCCACCACTTTTTTCTGAGAGAGGGAGAGAAATTACCGGGAAATCATACATCCATTCACAGTCACATTTTGAGGAAATGGTGATTACAGAAAAACAAATTGTTCTGAAACACACATACGCACTTTTTCCAAGAAATAAAAATGAAAAGACCACCCCCCACCCCCCATCTCGTCTTTTCAATGTTCTGTTTATATCTGGCTGCAGCGGTTTCTAATAATAGATTATTAGTCACCGAATTCCCTGGTTTTCTTTGTTCTGGGTGTGAAGCTAAGCCGTGGCTTTTATTCAGTCAGCCTTAAAAGACCCTTCAGGTGCGAGACCATCTTAACAACACTGGAAATGCTTTTATAAAGGCCCACACATACATACACGCAGAGAAAAACGTGATTGAAATTCATCTCACACACTCTGCTGCCTCAGAGTCCTCTGGAGCCAAAGCGCACCTCTGAGAGTGCAAACACACACACACATTCCTCAACAAAGCCCTTGCGCTAAGCACAACATCAAATGAAAGTCTCTTCCTCAAAATGAATTTTGACAAAACTATTTTTCTCTTTAAGCGGATGATCACTCACATAGTAGCGGCTTTAGACTCACAAGCAGAAAGTTTACATATGCAACAGACCACCGTGTCAGCTGAGGGCCTCACATCAAGGCTAAAATCACATAAATATAAATTCATGATGCGGAAAGAGTTATATAGAATTCATATGAATGGAACTGAAATTTAAAAGGCAGACAAACTATTCACAGCTGACAGGATTGAAAAAGAGTCTGAGTAAGAATCAACCTTACGACCTGAGAAAATTTAAAAAAAATCCCTATTGTAATACGCATGTTATTTTTAATGAATATTACAAATATAATGAATAGTATCATTGAAATATGATTATAATTTTTATTCATATTTTGAAGTTTTTCATTATATTTAATTATAATAATTATATATTTTCCTTTTTCATTTTAGTTGTAGTTATTTCAAATAATTTTATTTTGTGTTTTTGTGCTGAAATAAAAAGGTTTTTATATCTAATTTCAGTTAACATTTATTTCAAATAACAAGTTTTTATGCTGTTATTTTAGTTTCACTTAATCATAATACAGTGTAATACAGTGACTTACATATACAGTATCTATACATTATATATAATCAATAATCAATACAGTTAATATCACACAAAGAGTGCCATTTTTTCTCCAAATATCAGCATGATTGCAAATGTTATACTGATATAATTATATTTATTTAAAAATATGTGTGTGCGTGTATTAAATATATATATATATATATAATTAGCATAAACTAAGTACATAACAAATGTTTTGATTGAAAAAAATCTCAAGCTCTCTGACAATCTGGAGTGTTTCCACCTCTCAGCAGGAGACGAGACAAGCCCCAACACACACATCAAACGCATGCGCTACACACAGCGGGCTGCATGTATTACTCTTCTGCCACAGTTGTTAAATGCACAGACCCAGGCCTGTCCTGCTGGCTGCTCTTTTCTCAACCGCAAAACAATTAAATAGATCAGTCTTTGCTTATTTCCGCTGTCATTTTGTCATTAAAAACTCAAATTCCCACAAGATCCAACAGCCACTTCAGGAAATCAATAAGACCAATTTGAAGCAAACAAATCAAAAATTGCTTCAGTAAACACAGATTGACCTGGACACACAAATGTGCTGAAACACGCTGGTGTTTTTGTGGTGTTGCTTGAAATTAAATCATATTTTACTAAACAAAACTACATTTCCCATCAACCTCTTTGTCACCAACAGCAGGTTAAAATACATATCATAAATTGTACAATATGAGCATATTGTTTGCTTTTCAATCTGTAGCATTAGTTCATGGCTTTAAGTAAATGAGCCTAATGAAGTCACGCAGTGTCTTTTTTTAAACCCCAATATCACACAGTCAACCTTTGCTCATTGCTCACTGACAGCATTTAATGAATGCGTTTCACTATTTAAAAACATTTGTTTCAGCACCTGAAGCAGTGAATGACGTCACAACGACTGTGAAAGTTCTTACCTGTTTCTCACTCAGAGCCGTGATTTTCGCTTGGAGCTCGTGAAGTTGTTTCTTCAGATCTGCGTTCTATGAAAAAAAAAAAGAGCAAAGATAAGTGTAAGAATCACTTATTTTTGAAACTATGAGCTTGTGTCATATCTGAACAAATACCTGGAAACATATAAATTCTGAATTGCTCAACCTTTGTTTAATAAAATATTTATACACACCACCAAGCTGCCTTAATAGTATAGAAAACATATTACTCAGCCATCAGTAATGTTAAAGTTCTCAAACAAAGCAGAGGATTATTTCTAAAGAGCAACGTCATAAAGAATATTTACCTGTGGATCCTGCTTCATTTGGGCGACAAGTTTCTATGGCAACAGAAGAGAAGACAAGAATTTGCAGTCAAAACTTATGCCAACAGTTTTGAAGGGCGTTACAGACGTTGTCTGCCATCTACAGTCCACATGTGAAACTACAGCCTATTGCACCTGCCTCACTTTCAAACAAAAGCAGACAGAGCAGCAGGCAGCCCGCCAACGGCTTTCTGTAAGAGTAACTGTCCTCCAGTTCACAACGGTTTGTGGAGACACCATTTAATGTATTCCTTTGGAACAAACATTTTACATTTGCAATGAACAAGTGTAATTTATATGAAACTTATCGATTTCAGTTGATGAGTTGATCCACTTGGTATAACATCAATCTTCCAGAGGCAAATATATTAAGAAGTGAAAAAGATAGGGGAGAGTATAATGAGTTCCCCAAATTATATTTCAGGACATCTGCTATTAACTGAAATTAGCATCTATAACATCAGGTAATAGAAATGTCTAATATTAGATAGATAGTAGATATATGCATTGCGTTGTTTTGGGGTTTAAGGAAATATCCATAAACTTAACAACAACAAAAAAAGGTACTGACAATTTTCTGGCAGGATATCCTTTTTTTTTTTACAGGGTACATCTAAGGCCCTTTCCAAATATACAGTCACATTACAAAAAAAAAAAAAAGAGACATTTTGCACCACTTTATAAAAAATAAAAAAAAGCCCAGGGGTGGTTTTATGTTTCTTCAAAGTTTCTGCAGTCCACCAGTAGGCAACAGTGAGTCATGCGAGACCACAACACAACCCGTTCAGTTGCCCTGGATGAGGCAGAAATCCCACTTCCACCTGCCTGTCAAATATTCCAAGCGATATGAAACGAAACCAGACGCCGGCACAAAAAAAGCCTCCAGTATGTAAAAGAACACCTGCTTGAGATGATTCGTTAAAATTGAAGTAATGGCTTACGCTTTATCTGCCCAGTATGACCCTGATTCTCCTCCTTTTCCTTTCTCGCCGTCCCTCCCTCCCTGTCTTTTTGTCTTTCTCTTACCCCACTCAGACAGCTCGACTAATTTTCTGCCTGCTGGGACACGCCGCCTCTGACTGCGAGGGACAAGAGGAGAAACATATCTTCATTTATCACCAAGCGCAATAGAGGACCTGGAGACTCCCAAATCATTTGAATCATCCGTAAAACAACGAAGGTGCTTTCCAGCATCGGATTGTGATTTTAGGTCTCATGTACTGAAAGTACAGAGACACTTCAGCACTGTTTTCCCCACCTGATTTAACTGATTAGAGGCCCATTTGCGAGATCTCCTACCTGATGGACTTGTATTTCCACTTTCAGGGCCTCCTGTAATGTTTGCAATTCCATCATTGATCCAGTTCGCCAGAAAGTCCCAGGAAACTTTCAGCCTGTCTAGAGAAATCAAACAAGAGAGGTTTTGCAGACTTTTTTTCTATTTTATATATTTAACCATAATTTTGCGAGATGCTCGGCGGTTGACTTAATCCAATACCACCACGAGGGGGAACACGAGTCGGTATCTAATGTGGTTTGAGGGAAAAATGCACTTCTCTAAATCGAGCCGTGATTCATGATGTCTCAGGTGGTAGTAAACAGACACGCTTTATTCAGCTCGTATTCCCGGAGCGACACACTGCGAGAACCTCTTGTTTAAGTTCAAAAAAGTATTTTGGCGAAACGGGACTAAGATGAGAAATAAAAACTCAATGGAGGGTCTTGTTGAAAAGCAATTTTCTGGGAAAACTGGGGTTGGCGGAGGATAAAAAATTTGTGACAATCGAAAAGATGGGCAGGACTGTTTGCCTGTCGTCGGACGAATCGGAACAACCTCGATGCTTAGTGTAACAGTGAGCGAAACAGAGGCAGTGTTACAGACATTCATTCACTCTCATTGATTTTGGTGTGCGGCCCTGTGCCAAGAGGACAATTATAACAGAGGCTATTAGAGGACTTACCAGCTGGCACGGAGACTGGTGTTCACGTGCTCTCTCCAACTCCCTGCACAAGTTGAAACACACACACACACACAACCTATTAGATGGGGGAAGAGACACTCCACTTCCCTCTCTCTCTCTTACAGTCTGTGTAAAAAGGGGCAACATTGCAAGCACAGCATTCAGCGGGCTCGTAATTGCTCATCCCATCTATGAACCCCACGACAAAAAAGTCCTGCATCCCTGTGCATCTCCCGGCATCTTCGCGGACCTAAAAATATCTTCTTCAAAACTCAAGCATCGGATTTGTCCTTTGTGCTGTCCTGCCAAATGGAGTTCTGAGATATTAAGCGAAGCCTGTACTCGCCAGCGATGACATCTGTCATGACCACACGGCAGACGGGTATCTCAGGACCTTCAGCCTACAATGCACAGGAAATGACACCCTCTCAAATCGACAAGTGTATGAGTCACTCTGCCGGTCTTTGATCAAATAAAGTCTATAATAACACACAACTAAATAGTACGATCACTGGAACTTTAGGAAGAGAAACGTGTTAGCTTGGGTGCCCAAAAAAATTGAGAGTGATTGTGAAAACTGAAGTGGATTATGTACGTCTTTTAAAAGCACGTTGTCTATATTCATAATATATTAAGTCATAATTCTTGAATGTTAACTAGCGAAAAGACAAAAGGTGCAAACTACCAGAAAAAAATGCACCATATATAAACATTACCAAAAATAAATAAAAAATCACAATCCAAAACCTTTACTAAGTCTCTGTAATAATTTACGGAAACTTGAAACTTATATTATTAATATTATTATTAATAATTATAGTTAACCACGTAAGAATAGCACCATGTAAGAATTAGTAAAATAATAATAATTATAGTAATAGTATCCATAATAATATCACTATTCAACTCATGAAACTTAGTTTAGAGGCATACGTCTTTTAAAAGCACGTTGTCTATATTCATAATATATTAAGTCATAATTCTTGAATGTTAACTAGCGAAAAGACAAAAGGTGCAAACTACCAGAAAAAAATGCACCATATATAAACATTACCAAAAATAAATAAAAAATCACAATCCAAAACCTTTACTAAGTCTCTGTAATAATTTACGGAAACTTGAAACTTATATTATTAATATTATTATTAATAATTATAGTTAACCACGTCAGAATAGCACCATGTAAGAATTAGTAAAATAATAATAATTATAGTAATAGTAATCATAATAATATCACTATTCAACTCATGAAACTTAGTTTATAGGCAAATTCCCCTGAAATAGCTGGAAAAAATGATCTCATTAGGTATTTTGTTATGGATGCCATAAAAGAGATTTATGTTGAATCATGATGCTGACCAGCTTTTAGAAAGCATTAGCTAACATCTTAAAAATTGTGTCTTAAAACCCTGCATATTAAATATACAAAGAGGGAGAAAAATTTATATATTTACTTTTGAGTTTACAATTCAAATTAGGTTCTTATTTGCAATAGGAAAGCTATACAGTACAGTAACACGGGACTTTTAGTGTCTCTGTAAAGTTTTCGGTGACCTGTTGAAATGTTCTTTGTTAAACTATACAACCAGCCCAGATCAAAACTGCATTCCAGAATAAAACTTTTAGTTGTGGTTTGCCGAATATATAATGTACCTCGTATTTTAAAAGGTAAAATAAAGCAATATGAATTACATAAAAGTGAGAATAAGTTGAAATAACATATTACTGTAATCAATCAGGTACATTGTATAACAACATATTATTACGGCATTTTCATATTCGTATTTAAACGAATACCTATAAATGTAACAACAGACAAACATTGAAATTACTTTAATTCAACTATTAACAACTGATTCATCTGAGTGCGGGGAACAAATATACTTTACTTAAGCAAACTGTCACTGATATAAGACAGCTACAAATAGACGAAATAAGGGAAATGTGAATTATTGTCCTTTATAAATAGTATCCAGGCCTGGATGAGGTAACAGAATATCACAACTACACCTGACAGGACACAAGTTATAGGACTGAAATACTTCCAGTGTCATGTTACATAAGCCAGTACGTTTTGATTTGCATAACTGCTTGATATTCATGAATGGCATCAACAACAAAACTCCTGTGGATATTCCAATGTAGTTTATGAGTATTAAGAAGGCATTATATCTATTACGCACATTGGTACATGGAATCATAAATACCCCAAAGATTTGATTGCCACAGTACAAACATTAAAAGTGAAACTACCTGGATAAGGAAAACAAAACCTAAAGAAAGAGCTCAACATGTCAGATGAGGGTGTAAACGCATTTTAAAGTTCCACAAACATGAGAAATATCAACGAGTTCAAAATATAAACATGAAAGCAAAACATGAGCAGAAAACAAAGTAGATAAAAAGTGAATCAATAACAATAACAAAGAAAAGGATAAACACTTTACTAAAGTTTGACAGATATCAACAATCAGTTGAAAACTAAAATAAATTGATACTAAACATGTAAGGCTTTTGTAAGGTTTTACAAAATGATCCAACAAAGACTATGAAAGACAAACTGTTCCCACATAACATAACTCAAATAAACTCCAAATGCTTTAATATGCCACCTGCAAAACTACAATAGTGTGCAAAAACACTCTTGACAGACAGTTAAGCTGCATTTAGACCCCAAATTATCCTGAGCTATACATGAAACCGGCCTTTAGTTCTGTACATCTGATCAGGGATGTGCAAATGACAGGAAAAGTTAAGCAGCACGTTGATTAGGCCACTATTATAAACCTCTGGGAAACACGAAAGATGATGCCCAAAGTGTTTACCGACAGCATACTTTTCACAAAGATTCACAAAACGGAGAAATGCGTGTTTGATCCACTACAATATGAGGGTAAAAGCGTTGTGAGTTTCTTTTTCACTCAGCCTCCTCCAACCAAAAAAAAAGAGAGAGCAACATTAAAAAAACACTTTCTAAACAAACAACAAAATCGCAGTGCTTTAAAAAGCATCACTTTATCATCCACCCACTACAAGCCCAGGCACTAAAAGCGTTGAAAACTACCAAAATAGGAGTGAATCTTTTTTTACAAACCTGCTGCTGAATATAAGGAGCTTTCATATTGTGCTACGGCTAACTCTGCTAAAGCTAACAGGCCAACAGCACAAATTACAGTTAGATGGACTCGACTGAGCCGCAACCACTAATTCAAGCCATGCATGAGCAAAAGATCTTCATTCGACCCTCTTTTATCCCCCCTGCTGCCATCGGATACACTGTTTCCACTGAGCTGGAAACAACCGTTGCGGCAGCAATGTATCCAGCGAAGTTTAAAATGTTACAAAATAACAAAACGCGCGGAACGTTCGATTCACGCGCTGCACTTAGAAATACACCACTCAACTCCTAGAAATAAGCGGAAATTCTGCTCCAAAATCATCGGGATCCTGACTTCTCTACCTACCCGATCGCGACGGGGTTTGGATTTGGAAAAGCGACGAAGAGTCTCTGAACGATTAAAGTCCAAAAACGAGGCGCATAAAAGTTGCAATAATAAAAAAAAGATCCCAAGGTGCACTTACCCTCCTCTACTCACTTGAGCAGTAGTGCCTCTCTCTCTCCCCACAAATTATTTAAATAAATATTTACAAACACTCCGAGGTCTCGGTCCGATCCGATCCCTCACATAGCTGTAGTGGTGCTCTGGGCTGAATTTAGCTAGGTTACCGAGCTTATTTTTTGTTTGTTTAATTTTAATTTGTGTGTGTAAAAAAAGAGAGAAACTGAGATACAAAACAAGAACTCTTCTTCAATCTCATTCACCACAGCCGCAGCACCCGACGATTCATCCGCGCAGGAAGAGGGAGACGAAGGGGGCAGGAAAAGTAGCCGTCAAAAATCACAAATACCCCAAACATCCATCCAAACGATTCAGAAACATCGAGATTACTGTAAAAGTGCGCGCGCTTGGTGTAAAAGTGGACGTGAAGTTTCCTCAAAACGTGTTTGGGAAGAGGACTATTTTTTGTGACGGTGCGGCGAATTTATTTCACTTTGCCTAAGGAACAGCGGTAGTGCGTCTTCCATTGCCTAGGGAAAAACCCGGATGTAAACTCGGCGAAACTCATCTGGAGAAGAGAAGTGGCAGTCTAACTCACTCAAACTCATGCATATATACTCACAGACAGCAAAATAAGTTTTTTTTATTAGCATGTTGATTATATATGAATACTGCTATAAACAAACACAAAATAAATATCTATTTCAAATATACAGTAAATATAACTGGTTAAATTATGCACACAATATGCATACATTAAAAAGTGCCAGACTGTAATAAAATAAGGAAAAGGTGCTGCTTAAAGTATCTACCAATATTACAGGTTAATAAAAACATTCCTTATAAAAACATATTAAATGCTCTAACAGAATTTCACCTTTTACATTTATACACCGCACTAGGCCTACAGCTTTGTTTAAAGTCATAGAATAATAAAAGCAAAAAGCTAATTTCATGTATACTTGAACTTCCCCAATATTAATAATTGTATAAAATATTCTTAAAAAATTTTGTTTATTCTACTGCCATTAAAATGTATATCACTTACAAAACCATATGTAGTTTTTAAATGAAATTTTCTTGCATAAGGGTTTATGACGTGACACTCCTTTTTTCATGACATTTTGGGATGCAAAGGATGACTTGAATTCACATTTCCTAATATTAATGTGCTTTCAGTTTCTGAAATAAACTGCAAAATGTTAGATATATTAAAAAAAACAAAAAAAAACCTATCAGTCCCGGGACTGTAAAAAGTTACTTTAAAAGGCCACCAATCCTGAAAATGTTGGTATAGCCTAAATCATTTATCATAATCTTTTATAATTATTTATTTAAAAAGTAAGTATTTAAAATATATATATATATATTGTTAATATATAAAAAACTTTTGTTTGCCAAATCAAAATCAGTGTAACCAATATTCAGGAAGCCATCTCGTTGTCACATGAAAACCGTGAAAAAAAAAAATTACATATCATGTCACACACACATATATATATATATATATATATCATGTTTTGTTGTGGTCCAAAGGAGCAATCCTAGAAACATGACAAATGTGTTTTAAACAATTTTTTTTATTGATTTTTAAATATCATTTTGGACATTCTTATTTACTGTTGACACCTGTACAAAACATTATTGTTAAACGTAAATAGGATCCAGGTAAATGCATTTTATGCTATATATGACTTCCTCAAAAGTTCTAATAGCTAACTGTATAGGATGTGCTTTTTTATTTCTATCCCCTTGTACACTGAAATATATAATTATGTCACCTACATCCAGTTCCAACTCCTCTTTATGAACATTATGTCCATCCCCAACATATTTTCAAAGATGCAATGAATATATAAATATACACTTGCTTCCTTGTCATTACTACAGAAGAAATCACAAGAGTAGCTCATCTATATTCAACTAAACGTTCCAGTACTACGTTTCACAGAATAAATCGTCTGCAAGTGACTGCATCCTCCCTTCCAGACCACCATGTCTGCCTGACACCACTTCACTCCTCCTATAACCTAACATCAAGTCAAAGTAAACGCCGCTGTCATATACGACTCAATGTGTTTTATAGCTCTTCGATTAAACCGAGCGCACGTGCACCGCCGCCACGACGCTTTATGTCTGTTAACAGAGTAAAAAAAATAGATTTACTGAATATTCTACGCAAGCGAATGCTCCTACCACGTTATGAAAGAGGTGGCCGCTCCGTTAACCAATGAAATTGTCAGGAGTTAACAGTTTTTTCTGGGCCGCCATGACATATTTTTGAGGCTGCTCGAAATAGGCTTTTTTTGTTGTTGTTGTCGTTGTTGCTGCTGAATTTGTGCTGAATCAATACACCGTGAATCAAAAGGATTGCGCTGTGTGGCAGGTGTCTGTAAATGTAGGAGCGGTAGAATTCGCTTCAAATACTTAAAATGAGCTTTGATCTGAATTTAACTCTCAGTTTGGGGCTCTAAACTCGTCATACAATGTGCTGCAACACGCGTTTAAAACTATTGGACGTAAATCTCGCGAGAAATGAGCAAACATAATCTGTAATTTGTGCTGAATCAATACACCGTGAATCAAAAGGATTGCGCTGTGTGGCAGGTGTCTGTAAATGTAGGAGCGGTAGAATTCGCTTCAAATACTTAAAATGAGCTTTGATCTGAATTTAACTCTCAGTTTGGGGCTCTAAACTCATACAATGTGCTGCAACACGCGTTTAAAACTATTGGACGTAAATCTCGCGAGAAATGAACAAACATAATCTGTGGATTAGCTCGAGTGGCTAAAACAAACGATGTAGAAGAAAATATCCCTGCCTAAAATGTAAAGAAAATATGCAAACTCTACAAAAATACAAACTATTTAATACAAACTACACAAATCTTATAAAATATACTATATATAACACTATGCAAGTATATGAAATTCTAAAAATAACGTTAAATAATAGCCTATAATCTAACATAATATGATTTTTTTTTACATATTAAAAAAAAAACATGGTTTATATCTCTAAATTAAATAACCACAAAAGACAATAAATCAGCATCTGTAGCCTACATTATAAATGTTACTAATTTTAAATAATAAAATTTTATTAAAACTACTATGTGAATATAATAACAATGTAAAAAAAATCTAACAAATGTAAAGACCAGGTTGTTGGTTGGCTACAAAACTCTCCATCACTAGTGATAATCAGCTACAATATGAAATAAAATAACAGTGGTTTATCGAATCATCATGACCCTTTTATTCCCCACTCTGTTCTGTCATATATTGCTGCCACCCTTCACTAGTCTCAAGATGTCCAATTTAATAATGTACTCCTGCAAAGCTCTAAATGCCACCAGGACTTCAACATCCCATATAGACTCTGAAGTCAGGCTCCACGTTTAAATCTAAAATCAATCTTCAAATGTATTTGGGAACTTCAATCCATGGAAAGTAGCTTGACACTTTTATTATTTCACGTCTATGTGTGTATGTCCAATTTACTGAATAAGGACAAACTCCACAAAGAAAATGAAAGAAAGAAAGAAAGTTCATTAGTATTCAAATGTAAAAATCTACACAAACAGCAGTGCAAATAACGTATTGTATAGTTGAATCTATCATAGCTTTTTTCTCTAAAACCTTCTGCTCAACTGCCTTACCACATCATTACTCAGTCTGTCACGTTTCTGCAGACATTTATATTCCATGTAAACAAGGAGATGCTGTGAAATGTAGTGCATTTTACAGCCTGGCTTGAATGTTTTGGCACCTTCATAATATGATGAATAGGAGGACATCTTGGCCTTCTCAGCCTGTGTAAAGCGTTTTGTCTGTTGTGAACAGTAGATGGCGCCATTGTACTGGCTAAAAGTCGCACTAGTGAACGCTGTAACATTGCACAGAGATAAGCCTGAACTTGAACTGATGAAGTGCTTACTTGGTCTTTTTTGCTTTTAAAACGGGGTGCTCCACTTGCTCATCGGTGGCACATGTAATCTAAAGAGCCACATGTAATAAGCTGATGCTTTCAGACGGTGCAAAATAGTACAACGTGGTACAAAAGATGGTACATAAAGTACAGACGCCTATTAATGTTCTCTCTCACCTCCACACTTTTTGCACTGGTATACTGTCGTAACCAGTGTCAAGGTTACGTGTAGGCTTCGTATAGTACAAAAGGCTCGTGTAGGAGGAGGATGCTGCAATTCTTACCGTAGATCTGTCTAGTGTCATAGTGTGCAACAGGCGGCGCCATTGTGCAACAGTCTATATTCATGTGAAAAATATTGAGAATTGCAGTTAAAAACGGCACACTCAGTTATTTTTGTCTCATTTAAATATTTTAACCCTAAATAAATTACGAGCTTTAAAAAAGTATCTTTAAAATCACACGCACATGAGATAAAGGCTATAAACGTCTGTTTAATTTTAAATGGCGCGAGTCGCTTTCACGTGACCGCCGACAAACTATTCAGTTTATGTCGTAAACACCCCAGCGCAACATAAACAAAAATTACTGTGTGTACCTTTTACTGTAGTCTAATGATACACATTCAGCTTGGTGTATAGCAGTTCATTATGTGTTGAACCAGCATATGCTGGTTAGGTATGTTTTGACGCTGGGATGCTGGTTTAAGCTGGTCCGTTGCTGGTTTATGCTGGTCCTTTGCTGGTTTAAACTGGTCCTTTGCTGGTTTAT